TACTACGCCCGGCTAATTTTTGATTTATTGTAGAGATGAGGTCTTGCCAAGTTGGCCAGGCGGGTCTCGAACCCACGGGCTCAGGCAATTCTCTCACCTCAGCCTCCCAAAGCGCTGGGATTACAGGCTGAGCCACTGAGTCCCGCTACCTGTTTCTATACAGGAGTCAACAATGGGGTTTCACATTTCCACATTATGTGAAACGCCCATTTCAGTGTCCACAGTTACAATTTTGTATTCTAGTCTGGTCCCACTTGTGATCACGTGCTGTCTGTGGCTGGCTAGAAGCCGGACAGAGGCCCAATGTCCACCTGGCCCTCTGGAAAAGTCTGAACCCTGACCAAGCACAGCACTAGGACCCTTAGAAACAAGCAAACATTCTATTATCATAGAAGGTGTCCTGGAGTGTGACTATTCAACGGCTCCTGATATAGGCGGCCTTGTTAATTACGCGTCAGTGACTGGGCTAGGTTAAACGCACCCCAGTGCAAAGCACCTTGAAGCTGTGTGCAGACCCATCATGCCGGAGTCAATGTGAACAGGCCTCTGCCTCCGTCCCGCCCCTCGAAAAGCAGGTCACGCCCAGAATGGAGCGCCCCTCCCCCAACTGCAGGTCCCAATTTCACGGGTACCAGCACTTGTCTGCCTAGCGCCTCCTCCCGAGTTGCTGCCCAAGGCCACAGTCAGCGCCTGTCCTCTCTTCTGGGCCTGAGCCGTGGGGTTTCAGGCCGCAGGCAGCTCAGAGCACCCACCCTCCCCAAGCCCCAGAGCCGGCTGGACAGGAAGACCCTCGTTCAGGCACAAACTCCCCCTCCAGAAAAGCAGCACGACTTTGCTGTGGACATGCCACACCTCTGGACATGCCACACCTCCGAGCAGGCCTGTCGCTTGCTACTGGTCTGAACTCGGCTCTGTGTCCCCAGCACCGTCCTGAAGCAGGTGGCCAGCACAACAGCAGCCAAGCCACCGGCACTGAGAAATGAACCTGCAGCGACAAAGCCTTCTCTGACATCAACCTTGGCTGTCAGGGGCACTGCCAAGTCCAAATACTGCCATTTTAGTAAAATGAGATGTAAGACAGCCTTAAATTTAAGCTTTCTTAGGTATTGGCAAATAGGGCTTGAGTAACAAAATTAGAAACCAAAGAGCCAGAGTAAGCAAATCCAGAAATATCAGAAGATGCAACTTTGAATTTGAAGGTGTTTGTCACTTTGCAGAAAACCATAACCAAGACGTGTTTCGTTCCTCGATGCACACACGGCTGCGTGAATAAGCTGTGTTCAGGGCAGTTTCCTCTTCTGTCCCTGGAGGAGGGCCTGGTGCTGACGGGTAGGACACACCTCAGATCCTGGCCACACCCTGTCTGCCATCAAGAGCCTCTACTGTCCCCAGCAGAGCTGAGTCAGCTTACTAACAATTAGGCTTGCTCTCAAATTATGCCAGTTGCACTTGTGTTATAATTATAATGAAACAAGGGCAGAGATTAATGTCTCAAAAAGGGAGGCAGAGGTGAGAAGATTGCCTGATTTCAGGGGTTCAAGACCAGCCCAGGCAACTTGGTGAGACCTCGTCTCCACAATAAATCAAAAAATCAAACTAGCCGGGCATGGTAGAGTGTGCCTGTAGTTCCAGCTGCTTGGAAGGCTGAGGCGGATATCCTGAGCCCAGCAGGTTGGAAAGGGTCACCACAGCGTGGCTTCCGCCTGGATGAAATGCTTATGGCACAACCCTCCACTCTCCATGCTTGCTGGATTACCTTTGCCATGGACAGGATGGCGCAGGTAGCTGGCCACCTGGAAGTACATCCTCACTTCATGAACAGAGTTTCAAGGCTATCCATATTCTGAAGTGTCATGGTATCTAGGTCAATGACTATTATGTTCACAATTCTCCAAGAGTCTCTAAGAGCTAAATTACTTAAGTCTAATAATGTTGAAAACCCATCCATGTAAGCTGTGTCTGCTTTTCTGCATTAACATTTAAGCTTCAGATTTACAACCAAACCTTTTGACATATGACTAAAGTTATCTTGCAAGTCAGCAACAGGGGACCCCAGCACGGGTCAACGTCTCCCTTTCCTACTTTTAGAAAGTCTCATGGACACAGGTTACATAAACTTTGGACAAGCGGTTTAGCCTAACCCAAGCATTTATCATGCAGGAGTCCCTCGACATTCCAAAAAGAAAATCTGATCAAGCCACTCCAATATATCCTTTCCAAAGTGTCACTTTAAATGAGCACTTAATTCCTGTGTTCAGAGCGGCCATCCAACCCCCAGTTCAGGGAAAGAGGCCTGTCCTGGACTGAAGACTAGCATGTCCCACTAAGTCCCTGCCTGTTCCCCCCCAACGGTTCATGTGGGACTGTGAAGAGCAAGGATGAGGGACACTTGAGACACAGGAAGTGACAGGACGAATGCCTGGGTCTACCAGGGTGGGAGAAGTGAATCTGAACAGCTTCGGCAGAGACAAGGACAGTGACAACGGTCCTCTGCCTGTTCCTCACCCACAAAAGGGAGTGAACAGGTAATCCACAGGACTCAGAGTCTGCCATGCCCACAGGAGCTCAGAAACTCCCCAGCATTAGATAGACACCAATGACAAGTTGGTATTATGGTGGAGGATGTTTCTGATTTAATTAGGCAGACAGCAGAGGAAATAAGGTCTGTTACAGGCAGAGAATGGAGATTAAGATCAACTGCCTAAGGCAGGGTATGGTGGCTCAAGCCTGTAATCCCAGCACTTTGGGTGGCGGAGGTGAGAGGATTGCCTGAGCCCAGGGGTTCGAGACCAGCCTGGGCAACTTGGCAAGACCTCATCTCTACAATAAATCAAAAACCTAGCCGGGCATGGTAGTGCGTGCCTGTGGTTCCAGCTACTCAGGAGGGTAAGGCGGGAGGATCACCTGAGCCCAGTAGGTCAAGACTGCGATGGCCATGATTATGCCATAGCACTCTAGCCTGGGTGACAGAGTAAGACTCCGAGTCAAAAAAAAAAAAAACAACAAAAAACATCAGGTATTCCTTGTTTTCTAAGCACACCACAGCTGCTCCATTTAGAGGCGTGTTACAAGGTTGCAGATATGAAGGCAACTTTATTCCTCAGCATTTTTTTAATGATACTCACTCAAGATATAAAGTTAATTTTTTTTTAATTTTAATCTTTTATTTTAAGGATGTGGGGTACAATTCAGGATTAGGTATACAAGTGGTCATCGTACAGGTAAAGTTTGGGCCGCCCTTTGGTCCTCACTTTGCCTGGTTTGAAATCAAGTACCCTTATTGGTTTGAAATCAGGTACCCCATCCTACAGCATTTTATCACAGCCATATGCACAGTTCCCTTTCCAGAAGAGGGGTTCACCAGGTAAAAGGTCACAGCCATATGCACAGTTCCCTTTCCAGAAGAGGGGTCACAGCCATATGCACAGTTCCCTTTCCAGAAGAGGGGTTCACCAGGTGAAAGGTCTGGGATACGGAAGGGCCAGTGGGGGAGGAGTACCCAGCAACTGTCACTCCAGAGAATGCCAGCTTTTCTGCAGAAATCATTTGGAACTTTGCTGAAAATGAAAACCATCAATCTAGATTTTTCTGGACTACATTTTTAGAACTACTAAGTAATTCAGCTTTATGAATTGTTTTGTATGGTGGCTCAGCCTGTAATCTGGCGCCTTTGGGAGGCTGAGGTGAGTGGATTGTCTGAGTCCTCGGGTTCGAGACCCGCCCGGGCAACTTTGCGAGACCTCATCTCTACAGTAAATCAAAAAATTAGCTGGGCGTGGTAGCGTGCGCCTGTAATTCCAGCTACTTGGAAGGCTGAGGCGGAATGATCGCCGGAGCCCAGCAGGTCAAGGCTGCGGTGGCCGGGAGCGGCCACGGCATTCCAGTCTGGGCGACAGAGTGAGATTCCAACTCAAAAAAAAAAGAATTGTTTTGTAAAAAGCAAGCAAATACAGAGCCCATTCAGCACTGTTTTCCAGGGACCAAAATTAAGAAGGTAGATATCACTGTCCGAGATTTATCTTTTCCCAGTTGAGTTTTCCAAGTCAGACTGAAGGTGATGTGACTAATATCCAACATTAGACAGAGATAAGATACCTTGCTGTTACTATGTCACATGCTCCTCACAAAATTTGAGACATGAAAATGTCTGGATGTTTTTGTGTGAATCTTGGGCATTCCAGCACTGCCCACAGTGAGTACTCTTACTAGATGCATACAGTTTGAGCTTTATAAAGTCCTTTACACTACAACTCCATGGGCACAGTGAGTTATTAATGGCTTCTATACACATGGA